CCTGCTGTGTTCATCCAGCTCTACACCTTGTAATTCCAGAATCAGATATCTTTTTCAAACATGTTTATATTTACTAAAATAATACAGCTCCCAAACTACAAGTTATAATATTGTATGTTCTGTGTACTTCCAGTAAAATTCATGTCTGTCTCTCAGTCTTGAATGTTCAGTCGTTAGAACTGTCCTACAGATAGGTCAAAGCCCTGACTTAAAAGGAAAACTGCTATTCTTAAACCATGTCTTGTCCATCAATTTGTAGTTAATTGTGTTCAGACAGTAGATATTAATTGGGGATTCATCTGTATGCGTATATCTCTTGGAAGAGGATCTTATGGCAAAGTGGCAGTGCACCTACCTGTGGGCCAGAAGGCCTGGTTTGAAGTCCCAAAATCAAGATGTGATGGACGCAAAGATGTGTCATTACATGTTACATATGGATAGGAGCAAGCTGAAAGGTGGATTGTTGTTTTGAGAAAAAAAGCTTGTAAATGTATAAAGGCTTGGCTCTAGTGTTCTATTCTTCACTGTCTAGCTACTGAGTTCCACCATCATGCGGTCAATAATTAATTATACTGCTGCTGATGGTAACAATATGGAGTGTTAAGTTGCAAAAGAACACTTTTCCCTGCATGTTTCCTTTTGAAAAAACTATGTGAACAACTTTGAGAAAATGCAGTAAGTAAAGGACGCAGATAATGAAATTGTTGCAATATTTTATGTTATAATACCTACATTTTTGATTTGATTTGATTTCTTCCTGTCATGTGTACTGAGGCACAGTGAAAAGTGTTGTCTTATGTGCTTTACAGGCAGATCATACTGTACAATTACATTAAGTTAACAGAACAGAGTGCAGAATACAGTGTTACAGTTGCTGAGAAGGTGCCAAGAGAGATCAACCTTAATAGTAAAGAGGCCTATAACAGTGAGGAAGAAGCTGCCCTTGAATCTGTTTGTACATGTATCCAAACTTTTTGGTGAAAGCGTGTATAACCAGAGTGGGAGGGGTCTTTGATTATGTTGGTTGCTTTCCTGAGGCAGCGGAAAATTTAGATGAAGTTAACTGCTGCTGCTGCCGCCATCCGGGCTCACACTGGGCCCCAGCCACTGTCAGGTTCTGATGCTGCCGTTGCCTCCACAGCTCCAGTTTTTTGCTTCCTTTCTTCATTCATGGGATGAGGGCATCACTGACAAGGCAGCATTTATTGCCAATTCCTTTAGAGTCAACCACATTGCTGTGGGTCTAGAGTCATATATAGGCCAGACCAGGTAAAGATGGCAGTTTCCTTCCCTAAAGGACATTAGTGAACCAGGTGGGTTTTTATGAC